TGTCAGAGTCAACAAGAGTCATTCTTCCTTCTTTCGTTCTTTGCAAATGTAGCAACAGAAGCCTGAAATTCTGTTGCACAATATATATGTGCATGCAAGAGGCATTTGTGTACATACGTACATGTGACTGTTTCTTGTGTGGTGTGTGATGAAGCCTCCAATAGGCAGATCTCTGACAACATCAGTGAGACTAGAGCAGTTTCTGCTTCTTTTCTCTACCTTCATATTTCTAATTGAAAACATATCTAATGAGTTTCAGGACTGCTTGGGGTGTTTATGTGTCTATACACGAGCATATGGATGTAAATGGAAAACCCATACATCCTGAGAGAGCCCTTGACACGCCGATAGAGCCCATGAGCAAAGAGCTGCTTGCGTTACTGACTGCACATCCCCTTTTACAAGAGGCTCAGATATGCCAAACCACTTCAACTGATGGCATCATAACAATAATGATATGCTGAACTTTACAGTTGACAGCATTTCTCCAGAAATCTCTACATAGTGATGTTAAGGACAAGGCCAGCTTTGGCACATGAATTGCTGTATACTGCTCAATATGTGTAGAAACTGGAACTCCTAGGTAAAAAAGCATAACAAAATTGCTGTCTTCATGGGGTATAACACAGTTAAATCATATAAACAATTTTGTCCAGATACTAAATGCATATTATTGCAGAGTTATTCTAGTTATTTTCAATGACGAGCATCAATCACTGCTTTCGATCGATACACGATTGCAGACCTGATGAGAGTGCTAAGCATCTTCCTTTCAGGCTAAATAGAAGAAGAAATGAAACACTGGTTTATGAAAGGGTAGAGAGGAACAACTGGAGGCTACTGTCTGAGGAAATGGCTTTAATTACAAAGCATGAGCTAGGCTAAGCCCTGTGGTCTAAAGAAGTTGGGGATTTCTTTCAGTGACTTAAAGGAAAGAGAGGAGTTTGGGATTTATGCAGCCGTGAGTGTTCCTGGGGAAAAGCAAGGAGACTCCTTTCTTCTCAGGCTCACTTTCCACAGGCACAGAATGAGCTGGAGGAAACCCTGGAACTAGTGACAAAAAAACTCCTTGCTCTGGTTTCTGTCTTGGCAGGGCAATAGAGCTTTGTGTACACCATTTGTGATATACAGGATTATACCAAAGACATGACTGTCTTCTTGCAAAATTATTTGCATAATTTTTAATTTTGGAAGAAATTCTGAATTCTCTTAGCTCAGCACCCAAGTCTTTTTAAAATATTTGTCCCTTTGCCTTCTGCTGACTTTTCATCACCATACTGACCAAAAGCTGGAGCCATGAGTAATCAGTTCAGGGTTGCTGTAGCCTGGAAGGTGTCCAGGTAAGAGCTGATACATTTATATACTTCAGCTGTCTTTACCAGCTCAGTTTAAAGAGAAACTGCCCACAAGGATACTCAAAGATTGTTGGCTTTCCTAAGCACAAGTTGAATCCCAGTGATTTTTATGGGATGAGTGAGGCTGAAAAAAGAATGTGTGTTTAAAAAAGAGTACTTAGTATGTAGTCACGATTAATAATCCCTTATACCTTCTTTGTTAAATAAAGCAATGATGTGTTTAAATCCTCTGGGGAAAGGGAGCTGTCTGTATGCTTTTAGATACCATTTCTTCTCGTAGAAAGCGAGTCTGGATGCTCGTGTCTCCAGTGAGGTTCTGGGAAAGAGCATTCGCTGGGTGTCTGCAGAGCCACCACTGTCCCTGAGAGCAGGTACCCGGAGTCACACCTGAGTGCAGCAGCAGGGGCCAAATAATTGGTCTCCAGCTCCCAAGTCTGAGCCTACTGAAAAATCCTGCCTGGGCTCATCTTATAATCCAGAGGTTTAAAACATCCCAAGACCCTCTAAAGGCAACCTGCTGCCTGACAGATAGGAAAAGAGACAGTTCTGCGAGGCCCAGACAAAGAAGATGAGAATATTTAGGTTTGCAGACATGCTCTAAAGCATATCTCTTTTTCTCTAGTCTCAAGATACCAGGTGAATTTTGAGGTTCAAATATTTGGCTGTGTGTTCAGAGGGTTCTGTAGGATTTCTGCATCTGTTCGGTTTGATAGCTGGAGAATCTTCCCCCCACCTAGCAAATCCCACCACCCATGCAGCAAATAAATGCCCTTTGGCACCGACTGGTACACTGTCCATACTACTATATAATAGCTAGTGTGTAATGTGTAGGGATAACAACACCCCATCACAGACAGTAAAGAGAATAGGAGAAGAATTAATACCACTGCAACTCACTAGCTAGCAGAGCCCAGCATGGAAATCCAAGGCATGCTTGCCAGTAGAATGATGCTGAAAGAAGAGTGATGAGTCTGATGGAGCCCTCAGTATCCACGGGAGATGCAATGATGAAGTCTTCTAAAGTTGACAGTGAGTAAAGGATAACTGGACTTGCTCAGTCCAAACATGCCTGCTCTGAAATCCATTTTCTGTTTGTCAGTTTTCATGCACTGTCACTGTCATGCCAAGGACAAGCTCAAAGCTGCAATATAAATAAGATGTCTGTTGGAGAAATGTGTTTCTTGTTATATGCTTTATAAAGCAAAATCAAGTCAGCAATTGAAGCGGTGCTCTGGACAGTACAGGTAACATCTCCCAGATGAGCACTGAATGCTTTGTTTACATTGCAAAGGCTGAGAAGTGGGAGTCGAATGAAACCAAACTACCCAAATAGGGAACTGAGCTGGAGAGGAGTGATTTGCATTCTAAAAATGGGATTTGTTGGTCTCATTTCCAGAGCAATGCCAGGAGTGGAATATTGCATTTTCACCAAAAGAGAATAGTGGTGTGCAATACATCTCTGATTTCATTAGTCAAAAGAAGATTGCTTCTGCTTTTGACATTCTCTTGCAGCCAGTAATGTGAGGGACAATTAGAATACCTCAGAAATTAAAACGTTCTGTGATGTTGTGGCCAATAGTGTGAATATTGGTTCATGATGATGGAGAAATTCATCAAAATTAAATGAATAACTATCAAGAACAAAGACAAGTTTCAGGTGTATCTCAGTTGTGATTTGGGGGTTTTTTCATGTTTGTAACCTTTCTTTTCAGTGTTGTATGCTTATATTTTGCAGTTGGCCTGGAGACACTTCAGTTGCTCTTAGCTTGCGTATAACAATTTATTCTTATTTTTATAAAGATGGCTCAATTGATGTGCTGTTACTCCAAGAGCAACAAAGCTACCCTCTGTGATTTGTATTTTTAGGGATAAATCTTAGAAGTCAAATACATATTTCTAATTAACCATGTGTGAAATCAACCGTGTTGAATTAGGGGGGAATTTCACTGGATGCCTAATAATTAATCAAAATATGAACAATAGATAAACTAACAAACATAAGGTGTTAGCTGAGTGAGAGGATCTTTATTTATAAGCAGCATTTAGCACCATTTAATTCATGAGTTCAGTTTCCACTGACCATCTGTCATAGCTGCTGTCAGCTTCACAAGCCTGCTGAGTAGAAGAGGCTGCCCCTGTGTTTCGGTTTTTCTCCTTCCAAAGTAGCAGGCGTTTAATTGGATTAACTGGACTAAAGTCACTACTGCTTGAAGAGGTAGCATCAGATGTCTTCTTGGTAATCAGAATATTCATTCTCAGGGCCATTGGAGAAAGGGTGGGAACTAAACCCCTGTTGCAAGCCTGTATTCTCAAACAAGGTTCATAGCAAGACCAGATGAAATGCATTAGGTATTTCCAAAATAGCTTATATGGCATGGAAGAAGTCAGGAGCTTTTAAAATCTAGATTATAAAAACCTTCTTAGAAACCTGGAAAGCAAGTAAGGCAAGGGACACTTGTGAGCTGTGTCCATGACTTTCATCAATGCGGCCTAGCACAGCTGAGTGCAATAAACTTCAAAAGATATTTATCAAGTATTAATTCCTTTGAAATTTTCTTTAAGAAATGTGGGGACATGATAGTCCCTATCAATTCCCTCTTTGTGTTCAGCTCACAAACTTGCATATTTTTAAGGCCTGTGGATCTTGACAAACGTATTTGTCACATTGACACAGAGGTGGTTGCCAAGGCTCCTTCCCGTAGTCTCCCATGACTACCCAGCAGCTCTGGGCAGGTTTGTTTTAACTTGTGCTCTGGCCACTGGCCTCCCACTGGCTGAGCAGGAGCTGTTCTCACCTCTATTCAGGTGTCTGTACATCTGGTGTTGATATGGCTGAGCAGTACCACACCATTTTGCTACAGGGTGCAGAACACTGAGTTTCAAATCCCTGTTTGCAAACTTTCTTAAAAATACATGTTCTGGGCTAAAATTTCCAAGTGTATTTCAGATTTGGCAACCAAAGAAAGTAAAAACGAACAAGAAGCATTTTTTAGGTATGCTCAGGTATACATAGCACATTAATAATGGTGCTAGTAGCTCTTATTTTTTACAAGATTGTAGTCATTTGATTATCTTAATGCTGTTATTTTGTCATTTCATACAAAATTATTGAGTGGATCACAGCTTCCTTCAGGGTATTGGTGACCTGTTACTCAACTCTGATCTGTTCCTTATCAAGAATAAAACCTGGGTATACTTTGCAAACAACACTGGTATATGCTACACTTTCTACTTCTCTTTAGTGTTCTTTTCTTTTACTGCCTTAGTGAATGTAGAAAATGCCATGTGAAATAAAAAACACTTATGGACTCCATAGGAACTAATACATAGGGAGTGTGTAGTAGTCTGGAGAGGCACATGAAGTTGGAGGTAGCTTTTGTTTCAAGCCATTTGGGGAGGCAGAGTCCTGAGACTGTTCTCTCCTCTCGTTGGCAAACCTCCCACAAGAGTTCTGGTAAGCTGGACGCAATCTTTCCTCAAAATCTGCTCCATTAACGTAGATGTCGAGCTGGACCAGCTGGTACAGTTTTTATTGTCTGCACCGTGCCTAGAGTGTTTGCCTACATAGCTTCAAGCATGCCATCTCCTGGATTTCCCCACCTACACTGAATGCATATGAATTACAGGTTGGTTCCTGCACTACAGGTGGACCTGTGGCAGCCCAGCAGCCCCTTCCACATCGTTGAAGGTACGGTCACCGACGTGCGAGTGCCACAGAACACGTCCCGAAGTCTGCTGCCCTACCTCCAGCAAGCAAACATCCAGTACAAGTAAGCCTGTGCTTCGCCTTCTGTGCCTTGCTCCAGAGTCTGGCCTTCAAGGCAGGTCTGTGTCTACCACGCCAAGTGCACTTGAAAATATGTTCCACAACATAGCAATTAGACTGGCAGACAGCTAGACATTGCCAAGAAAACAACCATTTTAATGGGAGAACAGAAAATCTCCCACAGGCATGCAGTTTTAATTAAATGTCCTCCCTTGGAGTCAAGCTGAAGTGTTTTCAATGTATATGAAGTCACATCTGTTAAGAGAGGGATGGCAATTATTAATGCTACAGCCTGCTTTGCCTCTCTCTCTATTTAACAGGAGCTGGGTTTGTTTACAAGTGTGCTGCAAAGGCGGAGGCAAGCCTTCTTCATGAATTCTAACGGAATGTAGTAGTTCTGTTTTATAACTCTCCATTCCTCATAACCCAAGGCAAGTCATACAGAACAAATACACACTAAGGATCAAGTATGATTTGTAGTGTTTCTTTAAAGTATTCAAGACAGTTCTGGAGTATACTTACCATTTCCTATATATCAATATGATATACTAGACGAGTAATGATCTTGTCATTAAAGCCTTTTCAGTGAGATGCTGAAGCATCTGAATAATCAGCTGATGAGTTATTTGAATTCTCAAACATTTGCTGAATAAAGCCCTACATGAGGTTATTTATATTTACTTCTCAGTGAGAAAAGGGTCATGCAAAGCATATTGCATATTGTACGTACTGTTACCAGAAGTTCATTTTTATTATAACAATGGTCTCTTACTAATTTGTCATTCTAAAAATACAGAAACAAACCTTAGGAAATTAATTACGCAGGCCCGGGATCTGAAGTTCAGAGCTAGCTTCATGTGGGCTCTACACTGTTCCAGTTTTGTTTGCTTTTAAAAATGAGATGGGGATTTCTGTAATTGTTTTCCTGTGCTTATACTAAAATGTCCCCTAATTTACTATGCCCTGACAATTGTATTCACGTCTGCTGCTGTTCCTGCTCACAGTAATCACCTTTAACAAAATGACAGAAAGCCACTTTATATGTGCTATAAACACTCCCTGTACCTGAAGATCTTTATTTAGGCTGCAAAGCAAAGTCTATCAGGGCAAGAACTGCGAGAGCAAACGGTCTCTGCAGTTTACCTGAAAAAATCTACTACAAGTACAAGGACAGCGTTACATTCATTTTCAACGGGGAAAATTTCCTCTGTGACATTTGGCGCACAAGACGTGTGTGCTTAGACAGAAGCCGGGCAGCTTTTTGTCAGCTCCAGACTGTTTCTTTGCTTTCTCTCTTCATCTCCCTGCTGCCCATTTTGGACTCCTTGCCCACTGGGTCCCAGCCATCAGAATGTAAGTGCTGCAAAGGCTCAGATGAGCATGTGCTTGTCCTGCCAAGCCTGCTGAGACCTGTAATGCCACAAGAGCCGGGAGAATTCGTCATGAGAGCGGCAGCAGCAGCCACCACAACCACGGGGGCTATTTTTTGGCTGCCGGGGCCCCCGGGCACAGCCATGTCCACAGCGCAGCTCCACAGCCAAGGGCCTGAGCCACCAGGCAAGGGTTCACACAGCTTCTTTTATTTTCATAAATTTATTTTAGTGTATTTTTGGCACACTTTTTGCAAAGGAGTTGAATATGAGTCAAATACCATGTAAAACTTCAGCCTGATGGAGTGATGCTTGACTAAATTATGACAAATTTCTAGAGATGGGAAGCATTGAGCAGCCCTAATAATGAACAAGGTGACCAGCCCTTGCCTGTAAGACAGGCCTTTCTGTCCCAGTGTTTGACTTCATCACAAGAAGACAGTCGTGAAAACAAGCCAGGCATCAGATAAACTCTTACTCCACCAAGTTGCCTCGGTTCTAAGTTCTCTGGCAATTAATCTACTTAGGTTGTATTCAGATCTAAGGGACTTAAGAGCCTTGGTGTTATAAGCACACCCAGTACACAGTCATTTAAGAGTAAAGAAAGCTTATGAAATCTCATTTGGAGTACAGACACATAAACAATCAGGAGTTGTGAAATTCAATCTATCACTGTAAAAGTGAACAAAGGGAGCTTGATTCTGGTAGGTACCTACACTAATTTGAATTCAGCAAAGCAGGCAAGTATTTTTTTAACATATTAGATGTCCTCATGACTTTTGAATAAAACCACTGCTTTAATCTAACTACAGGCTTAAATGCTTTATAGTACTGGTCTTAGAGTGTATAGCACTTTGCAAGTCAAGATTATAAGCCCTTAGTTTGCTTAATTAAAGTTGCTGATGTAGAACAATGTAATTCCTAATTATGCAATTAGTTCACTAATACATTTGAAGATGGGGATAGCTTTTACTTTGATATTATATGTCATAGATATACATAGACCAGTTATCTTTGAGGTATCTGCTGCACAGTTGAGTTAGGATCAGAATGAATGCAGTTTCTTTCCATCTTTTCGCAGTCATTGCAGTAGTGCCTATAAAACTTTAAAAGGTTGAAAGTGGCCCTCGTTTTACAAGAACAATGAAGTAGTGGTAGGGTGAGTACACACCGCCATGCCTTAGGAGAAGATGGTATGCAAGGATGCCTCTCAGTTTTACAGTGATGTTGTTATTGATGTCAGTGACGATATTCCCAGCTCCTGACACTGTGTGATGGAAAGGATAGATACTCCAATTTCTTCAGTATAATTCTTTTTAGATTACTTCTATATTATATTTTTATGTTTGTAACATTATTTGATTTTGCCATAAAATAGGAAAGTTTTCAGCTTACACCACTTTTTCTGCATTTTGCTCTTAATGCAAAGAACCTCTCACTTTTTATGCAAGCATATTTAATTTTCAACTAAAATGAAATGTTTCATTTTTTTCCTGTTATTTTAAACTAACTGGCACACAACTACTGCAGTGAAGCTAATTGTAAACAAAAAAACACACATGATTTTTTCTTTGGTGGTTGTTTGTTGTGTTTCAGACAGAATGATAATGCCACCAAGTTCTTAATTTTTTTGTTTTGCCTCTACAACTTGTACGCATATGTAATGTTCCATGCCAGTACAATAACTCCTGACAGAAAGTATATGCATGTTCTTCTAAGCCTAAAAATATTTTTTTATGGCTTTGAAATCAATTTTTGAAGATCCATGATCACGTAGTATAACTGGATTACAAAACAAGACAACAAATGCTGCTACATGAACAAATAAAGGTGGCTTCTTCTTCACACTGGCTACATTATTTGCATCATTCTGTTTTATTCGCTTAACAAACTCATTGGGTTTTTTGAAGGCACCGCTACATTTCAAAGCAGCTGGAGTATTTATCTTGCAAATATTCAAATAAGCCTGAAGCACTCTATTGTCAAAATATAACAGATAAAGTAACATCAGGATGGTTTATCTCCTGCTATATTTCCTCTAAATGTGATTGTTGTTCTGCTTTAGCCTGTGTGTTCTACTAGTTTTTAGCAATATCGCTATCTTTTTTTCACCTAGGATTCTCATATCAGACCTACAGAAAGTAATAGAAAACGAAACTGGACTGAGGTCACATAGGAATCGAAGGTCCCTCTCTGGGTATAACTACGAAGTGTATCACTCCCTGGAAGAAGTATGTGAAAATTCATATTGTTCCTCTTATCCACTACCCTGTTGTCTTTAATAAGGCTATGATTTAATTCTCTCTACAAGTTATGGTTGCCTGTTCATCTTCATAGAATCATAGAATCATTTAATTTGGAAAAGACCTTTAAGATCATGAAGTTCAGAAGGTTCTAAATGTTTCTTCTTCAAAAATAGGCACCTTCTTGAAAATATTTTTTTTTTAATATTTGTGTTCTAGGCTTACCTTTACATGTAACCATCTTTGACAGATTCTGAGTTTTGTTTTTAAAGTAGATCTTTTGCTCTGGTGGAATAAGAGATTTCAGGGAGTGATTAGTCTCACCGAGTCATTTAAGTAAATAACATGAGCAAGTGCTTAAGTATTTGCACAAGAGGCCCAAAGACTTAAAAACACTTACACACAAATTCCTGTGTAAGGGTTACTATCCTGGAAGATAGCTGGGTAACTTTTTTCTGTTGACTTCGCATATACAGTGTGAGCTTGCTTCCAAAGCAAGACCCTAGGATGAACATGGAGGGTGCTGCGCCTCGATGAGATCTGGTGCCTGCAGGTTGATCTGTTCGCCTCTCTGTGTCCTGTCAGGCAGACTCAGGGACCTTCCTTCTTTATTCCATTAATGTCTAGTGGGAGCAGCGAACTAGCCCCATCCCCAGATTTCTGATGAACAGCTAATGCATTCCAGTAATATCCAATAATAAAATGGAACAGAGCTATGAAAGCCCAATGATAGTTCAAGTGTGAAAACAAAAAACAAAAAAAAAGAAAAAACACAAAAGGAAAGACAAAAAGAAAAACTACAGGCAAATGAAAAAACATACAAAGGACTGAGAGCTGACATTAATAAATGTCTTGCAGTTGCTTCCTATGAAATGCAAAGACTAAAGCAACAATTTTATCTCTGTGTTTGTAGATCCAGGGTTGGATGCATCATCTGAATAAAACTCATGCAGATCTTATTCATATGTTCTCTGTTGGAAAATCCTATGAAGGGAGACCACTGTTTGTACTCAAGGTAAAGATTAAATAGTCATTAATCAGACTAAAGTCTGGAACCGGTGACAAACACTTTGCTGCTCACGTTATAGCATGTGCACTAGAAATGTGGATTAAGAATGAGTTGCTAAAATCTAAGTATCTCTCTGAATGAGATCTTTAATGAACAAAAAAATTAAAAGCTGAAAAGCTAAAGGCCAAATCCTGTTCCACTTTGATTGTGTATGCATGGAGATAGATTGCAGGACAAGTTCAATTAGCAGGGTTTGGATTTAAGGGAATTGGAAAGTTTTGTGTTTATAGACAACTTGGAAAGCAGTTCTGCTGGAGAGGGACTCCAGAGGACTCTGGAGCCCTTCTCAGCATGTGCCACATATGCTTCCTCTTTAGCTACTGACAAAATTCCAGGGCTGTGCACTCATAACTCACATTTTTAGAACCACACACTAAAGGGTGTCAGCAAGGTGGAAAAAAATTTTACTTTCAATGTATTTTCTTTTCATGTGCTGTTGCAGAGTTCTGAAAATTTGATTCTGCATCAGGCTGTTCCTGTAGCATTGTTTTTCCTTACCCTGTTCCATGTGATATTTAAGGATATCATTCCTCATAGAAGAGGAAGTGACAGATCTCACTTGTAATTTTTTTTTCCATAGATCAGCTCCATTATCTTGGCATACCTGCATATGATTATTTTGGCCATACCTATGAAAGCAATAAATTTGTGTTCCTTTATATGAGGAAATTCAAAATGGTTTAGTGTTTCTAATATTCTATTATTTTCTCATTATTGTGTCTCACTAATGTCATGAGATATATCATTATTTCTGTAAATATTCACACTTCAAGGTAGGTAAAAGATCACGGCCTTACAAGAAAGCGGTCTGGATAGACTGTGGGATTCATGCAAGAGAGTGGATTGGCCCTGCCTTTTGCCAGTGGTTCGTGAAAGAAGTAAGTTTTTAATGTTTTACAGTCATGCAGTTCCTTCAGTTCAATAAACATTGTGGTTTTGCTATAACCAATATCTAATATATTATTAAGAAGAGCAATAACTAGCTTCTATATCACTTTTTTTTAAATTTTATTTGTAGAACAGTAAGTGCTTGATAAACCAAGCTGATAGCGACAGCCAGGCACAGCTAGGCACAGGACAAAAATATGCCAGACACATATTGGCAGAGATATGATGGAGGATTTTATTCCAAGATCTAAAAATATGGAGACTGTAATTCTGGTAATCATCCAGGTGAATCAGTGCCAGTGTGTACTGCTTCATATCAGTTCAGCAATATCTTTGCTTTAAGGACTGAGATGAAGAAAGACATTTCTCTTTTGTGCAATCCCATAAGAATAAGAAACTAAAATCATAGACAAATTTCACCCAAAATGCTATATTTCATATTCTCTGAATATCAAGTGGTTTTCCCAACGTTTCTTTGATCCGATCTTATTGGATTTGTGCTCCCTTTATCTTTGATATCTAGGGTCTAGCCTTCATATCCATCCATTTGCCATTTTTCAAATGTTCAGTCAAATCGAAGCAGCTGGAATTTTGCTTTCCACTTGTCCAGTACATAATTTTTTTTGTATATCAGCACTTCATCTCTTCTAATTTTGCATTCATCTCAGACGCACGATAAGTTTGCAGGATTTTGACATTTCCCCTTGACCAACAACTTTTGTTCAAGAAGGGACATTAGCTGCACAGTGGAGACTACTTTGCAATGCAATTTACAGAAGTCAAAGAAGGCTTCAGAAAAAAACATCAGATGTGCTCTGAGTATTTTGCATACCATGTTTTTGCTTAATGTAAGTGATGCAAAATCTTTGTTTGCAAGGTTCTTCCTATAAATGCACAATTTTCTCCCTTCTCTCCTACCCCATTTCTGTGGAATTCTACAATGTATTAATGCTTCTGATTTTCTGGGATCTCTCCACTCGGCAGAAAGATCCTGGCTCTACAAATCACTTCATGAGAGTAAACCTCTACATCATCAACTCCCTAATGTGTTAGCTGAGACCTTCATCTAACCATAGGTGAACTTCCCTCAGAAGTCACAGCAGCACATAGGTCAAGTACCGAAATAATGAGGCCACTACAGTTCGTGTGAGCTTCTCAGCCTGGCTGCTGATGCATGCATAGGCTAAACCAGATCCAAGAGCTGATCTCCAAGGTTCAGTGTGCAATGACGGTGCGTCTTCTTATTAGGACTTCTGTTAGTGTAAAGATGAACAAACTTGCAACTGTTTCCAAGCATCTTTCCTCCCCAGGAGAACAGGCTGCAGTAAAGAAGGAAGATGTTTGGGACAGACAGGCATGGGTGGGAAAGCCTATTGCTCAAGTGCGCCTTCCTCACGGAGAGCTTCCCATAAAGCACTACAGTGGGGCAGCAAGGTCAAAATCACAAGGTTTCTCTGTAGAGCTTGTAGTAGAATATAGGCTGAGTATGTGTATATAAAAACCTGCTGGTTGTTATTTGAGATCCTCAGAGAGTAGTTTGCTAGTAGGACTGTTTCACTAACTACATGAAAGCATTTTCCTAGATTAAAGAACATTTCTGCAGAGCTCCTTGAGACTACAAGAATGTCCCACCTTTGTCTGCCCATCTCGGTCATGCATTGCCTTTGTTCACGGACGACATATATTTTGTTCTTTACTTAGGGCAATATTTCAATGCAGCAGTAAAGCAAAAAGCATCAGGATAAGAATACATCTTGCTCACATTCTCCATCATCATATTAAAAATGGCTGGGAGGGGAGGAAAGACAAGACAATTAAATTGTTTGGTGTAGGATATTGCTTTTCTTGTTAAATGAACTAGACATTTTTAGTAAGAACTCTGGGAAGACTGAAGACCTCTTCATGCTTCAAACTCTGCTATTCTCTTTTGCTGGCAAACTCCTCCCTTAAGCACCTCTGCAGCCTGGCAGCCCACTTTCCATCCTCCACAGTGCTTATGAGCAGTTCTGAGAAAGGGCAGTCATCTTGGAAACAGATTTTTCCGGGCATGTTTGTGGCCTCTAAGGAATAACACCATGAGCCCATTGATTTAAGGCAAGCAAAAGGAAACGTTTGATTTATGTGATGTTAGCGTCTTTTCTAGCAGGAACAGCATACGCACATCCCTTTACTGTGCAGGCAGCCTGAAATATTTTATCGAGCTTTCACTTCACCCTGTGATTTCTGTTGCTTGTTTTTATTGAAGTAACCATACCCTGTGTACAGCTAGGCTTTTCAAGAGATTTAGCTTAGGAAACAATGGCTATGTATGAATGTCACTTCACATTCAAGCGCAAAACTGGGTGCTGCAGACTTGACCAGTTATTCCCAGCCAGTTTAGGTGCTCTCAGGATTTTGCTTGCACCTCTGGAAGTGGCAGCTTCTGGGTGCCAGTGAATTTTCTGCAAGCAGGGCAGGCACCACCTCCCTAAGTGGAGGTACCCCTGAGCAGCTGGCTGCTACTGCAGTGCACCAGGGTATGGGCAGCTGCTCCCCGCTTTCTACAAAGCATCTGGAGTTGTTTGGCTGAACAGGACCCGGCTCCCATCTATCTAGAAATACAAAGCAGACTAAGGCAGATCGGACTTGGGAAGGGAGGATGTGAGGCTAAAGCGGGGGAAGGCAAGAGGCTGCTTGCTACGTGGGCTTGTTCTCTATTTTGGCAAATACAATAGACAAAAAGAACAGATGAACTAAGGAAAAAAGGAGAAAGACATAGAAGTAGAGGTTAAAGCTTAAGAAAAGAAAGAGAACTTACAGGAAAGAGTTTACATTATGTGATAATATAATTCAATGTTTTGAAACAAACAAAAAGAAAGCAAAGACTATTGTTTGGTTTGGGGAGTAGCTTTTTTTGTTTGGGATTTTTTTTTTATCATTTACTCCAGCATGAGCTCCAGCCTTGGCTTTGTATTCCATAGGTCTGGTGTTCATAAGAACTTCACTGTTCGTTTCTGTCGAAGGAAGCCCTGAATGCCTGTAGCCTCTTAGCTAATTAGATGTTCTACCAGGGGTAGCAATGCCGATTGCCTCTGACAAACCCTACCTTGTGGTCACTGAATTTCAAGTCAAGAAAGGGGATGCCCTACACATCCAGGACCAGAACTTCAGGTACCAGCTAATGAACCACAGAGAAGTGTCTGCGCCTGTGTTGTAGCAAAATATCAGTTACGTTACAGTGGAGTCCCACCAACATCAAGCCTTACTCAGCTGGAAAGGGGCAGAAAAAAGGCCCTGACAGTGGAAATATTAGAGACCCTTGGTGGGGTAGGGAAGCAAGAGGAACTGTGAAAGGAAATGGAACTGATTACATGTGGACTACTGTGAAGGCAATCTGCAAAGATAAATGAGGCAACCTGCAAAGAGAAATGAATCTAATGCAACTCAGAATTTGTGTCCCCAGTGAAAGATTTAGACGGAGATTAAAAAAAAAAAGGTTTGTTAGCCTAAATTTTTAAAAAGACTGCATGGGATCTAATCATACATTAAGATGGATTAATAAATATTACAGAAAGGAAAGAAAGGGACTCTATTATGTGTAATTCCTTTGTAGAAAGCAGTAGACTTTAGACATAAAATTTGTTTGTCAGACATAACATGTATTTAGTCTAAATGAAATAGCCCTCAGAAACAAAGAAGGAAAACCTATAGACTTTTTGCAAAAGTACAATTATATATATATGTATATGTGTTAACTAAGAACACTTAACTCCTCTTTACTGGGTGTGCACTTGTGAGAGGAGAAGCAGAATTCAGACATCAAATTATCCAGACCTCAAATTTAGGATTTTACCATTGTTTTAAAAATCTGAAATATGATTCACAGGCTGCTATTCGAATTAACATCAAAACTAGATTCTGTTTCAGTTTTAGTGGAAGCAGATGAGGATTCCCATTACATCTGGTTTGACTTTCTTCCCTCTAATAAATGCTGCCATTTGATCCATGTCAATGATGTATAACCTTGAAATGTCCTTCATACAACATTTTCAGAAAACAACACACAAGAGCTATGAATTTAAGATGCACTGCTCTTTGTGTCTGATACAAGGATTTGTATTTTAAACCTCAAGATTAGAAAATTCAAGAAATGTAATTAAAAACTTTCAAGAAGCAAGCACTGATTGTACTTCTTGACAAAAAGTTCTAAGAATCCAATGGCAACTGCAAGGGAATTGTCCATCGAGATCAAGTGCATCCCCCTAAGGGAGTGGACTCATCAGGGCCTCAAATGAAGTTGCAAATAGCCTCACACTTTGGAAATACAGTACCTCCACCATCACCTTCTTCTCCCATGCTCAAAAGTGGCCTTTTTAGGAATAAAGGAGAACTAACGTATGTTGACCGGATTCAGTATATCTGCGTCTCAAATGTGAAGTGTGGCATGCTCTTCAATAGACTCCCTAGGCTCCTCTGTTTTTCAAATGTTTAAATATTGAGAACTTTCCTCAAAATAACGTTGTTAATCTTTGAATGTGGGTCAGCTTACATTGCTCATAGACAGTTTTCTTTAACGTGAGACTGGTGTGCTTTTTTTTCCTGGATGAGAAGTGCTACCGTCTGCCTCTTCTGGGACAGAACCTAGCCAATATCTAAGGTCTTTGCTGAAAAAATCTTCCAAACTACTTCTGAGCTTTCTGGATTTGATCAAGGTGACGTGATCAGTTTGGTTCGAGCATTGACCTTGCTAGACTACCCATGAATGTTCCCTCACCCGTATCCACAGGTCCACTGGAAAGAAGCTGTATAGTAGAGGAATTCAAATCCACACCTCTGAAGCCCTGTTCATCCTGCAGCACTGTATCATCCCTTAAAAATGGGCCGTAATAGCTGTTTCATCTCAAAAGAGTCCCAAATCTGAAAACAGTATCAGTATGCTCTGTATACTTCAATTTGTGAGATGCAGGGCCAGAAGTCCAAATTCTGAAATGTGGGTGTTCTATGACCCGAG